ATATTTGGGAATTATTAGCAAATTCCAGATATAAGAGTACCAGCATTTTCAAACCTTTGCACACTATAAACGTTTAAACACATTGTTTGATCACAAAATTGTTTATTTCATTATTATTATTGTAACTAGAAATATTTCAAGAATGGTATAATATGGATGACGGCTGATTTATTATAAATATTAATATTATATTAAAACACGTTTGCTCTTGCTTGACAAGAAGCTTGTAAGAATCTATACCGAAACGTTGCATCACATAATAAGGAAGTTGTCATCTATAAAGTATTAGACTTTTCTTACTTTTCATCAACTTTTAAAATGCCAATCAATTATAAATATTTTGCCTTTGCAAATTGTGCTATTCGTCGAAATAGATTTCCAAAGAAACTGACCACGAGGGTGAGGCTCTCGAATGATTATGTATACATAATGACCTGAGCTCTGTTACACCTTCAACGTTGATCACTGGATTGTCTGGTCCAGACTCGATTATTTTCAGACCGCCGCCATATAGCTTGAATATTGCTGAGTGCGGCGTAAAACTAAACTCACTCACACCTTCAACAGCTCGTCACTATGTGGCTGGAAAAATGCCGATGTGACGTAAAACTCAACTCGACTCAACAGACCTTCAACATTTTGTAAGGAAAGGAAAGGGCTTACAAGGAAACAATAGCCTTGCACAAAGGAACTTGTGATGAATAATTTTAAACTAATAATCATTCCCTCAGAGACTTCTGCAAGTCAATAGAAACAATAACTAGCCAGGGAGATGTACACACTCGAACACAGACAATAACACCGATCGGCGGATGTCAGATCTAGGAGTTTGTAAACACGGGTAGCTCCAAGCGAGTTCAAAGCGCTACAGTGGGGCTCCTTACGTAATGTATGCTGATTCGACCAAACACAGCTGCCAGACCGAAAGTGTTTGTGGACACAGTCACGGGTTCTAAGACCCGGCTAATACCCACCCACTGCGGTCGTGAAGAAGCTTATCTCAACACTGTGAGTCTAGGCACGCGTGAACCAGCTGCCATACTCATCGTCGTTACTGAAGTAATAGACACCGAAAATTTTGCCATTTAAGTATTTTGCTGTTCAATGAATTCACCAAGTACAGCTCCATTTTGAGTGGTTTGTGTAACCACTGTTTTTGAAAGGCAGTCTCCAGTGACTTCTAAATCCCGAAACTGTCAAATTCCGTGTGAGTGAAATCGTTCGGAATAATATACGTCCAGGTTGAAGAACTGTTATTGAGTATTGCCGTATCATAAAGATTGACTTACAAAGATGTTTTTCAACATTAACAAGGAATGTAATTCCGGTTTTTGTCATATAGGCAAATTAAGATAAGTGATTATTCGGGTAGTTTGGTTTTGGAAATAAAATTACATAAATAGAAAAAAGATTGCGAAAGTTGTGGAATTAAATGTCATTGGATGATTAAATGCACTGAAAACGTTGAGAAAACTGTAATTCATTTCACAACCCAGTGAGCTGGAAGGTGAGGCCTCTTCCTTAATCACTTGCTTAACGACTTTCTTAAAAACTCTGACACAACTTTTCCATCGAGTGACTTTGAGAAAAAATAAATTTATAACGTCATGTTTTTTACTGACAAGTAAGACGATAACTTTGTTTCCTTTTTACCTAATTTGATTGATATTACTTATTACTGAAATCGATAAGGCTCAACGTAAAGAGTAAATGGCCGAAAAATGTTTTTTGTTCCACTTTTGTGAACATTTTGTGTCGACCTGCATGCCAAGTTTAGAAAAAAGACACCATACTACTAAATTATGGCTTGCGTCATTGAAAGTCTGTCTCGTGTCCCCATAGTACCTACCATGCTGATCTTCATTCCGTTGCTGGTGATGTCCAACTTGTTTCTATATTGTATTGTCGGTAATATTGGTTTAATTTTAAAGTTACGTGCTGGTTTTAATTCTTTATCTGTGATAATATAGTTATTTTATTGTCCTTCGTCGACAGGTTTTAATAATTGAACTGTGTTTATTATGAAGGTGTACCTTTTCTAGCCACGATATGGCTGAAATATTGCCGACTATAAATCTTAACTCACTCACTCACTGTTACAAGCACAGCATCCAGACTGTGCTCAAAGCTGTCTTTGTTAAGGATGGGACTTGGGGGATGGGTGGGGATTGACTACTCAAGGAGAGCAGGCACCCGTTCGTCAAAATATGACATCTGACATTTCTTTGTGCTACAGTGGTAGCAGAATCAGCTAGCCCGTGGGAATCCTGGGGGTATATTTAGTACCTTTTCTTTCCTGGAATAGATGTCTATTCATTGGGGAGGGAGTGATTATTGCTCAACGCCGCATGTACATTCTTGCAGCTATTCATTGGTGCCGTAAATCATAGGTGAATAGGGATATTAAGAAGTTGGTACGGTGAAAAGGTTTTCTTTAGTGATGTGGATAAATTTGACATGATTTTGAATACCATTCTTGTTGAAAAATTAAATTAAATATTCCACCAATCTTGGTTGTTCTTGAAACAGACATGCTGGGCATTGAAAATAATATGAGTGTGTGAGTGAGTTTAGTTCTACGCCGCACTCAGCAATATTCCAGCTATATGGCGGCGGTCTGTAAATAATCGAGTCTGGACCAGACAATCCAGTGATCAACAGCATGAGCATCGATCTGCGCAATTGGGAACCGATAACATGTGTCTTTTAAGTCAGCGAGCCTGACCACCCGATCCTTACGATCGCCTCTTACGACAAGCATTGGTTACTGAAGATCAATATTCTAACCCGGACATTCACGGGTAGAAAAGAATATGAACGTACAATTCTAATTTATGAAGGAGTTCATGGAGACCAAAGCGATCATGGACTGTACATGTGCTCTTTTTCGGAGCAGAACTTAAAAACGGTCCACTATGCTTTTGACAAACTTGGTACATAGATAGGTCTGGTGGTGAACTGGTCCCTTTTGGTAGTTTTGGATTTCTGAATAAATTATTTTTGGCGTTTCCATGGCAACACGTTTGACTTCGACTGAATTTGGTGGTAGTGCTCTTTTCCGGAGCAGAACTTAAAAGCCTTTCAATACTCTCCTTCCACTTTGCTATATACACGCCAAAACATTTGACATAATCATAACTAGTAGATTGCGAGGGATACTGATGACTTTGTCTTCTTGTTGAAAAAGCAAATGACATGCGACCGTCCACATACACAATTTGCCTACTTTACTTTCAATCAATCGTTACAGGGGGCGGTGGGGTAGCTTAGTGGTTAAAGCGTTCGCCCGTCTCGCCGAAGACCCGGGTTCGATTCTCCATATGGGTTTTAACCTGTGATAGTGGCAGGGCCTCAATAACATGCTTCTTATACGGCGTGATGTTTTATACAAATGATATACATTTATGTATTATATATTATATATGTTTTAGCTTTTTAATATTGTTTTAGTATCTCTCATAAATCGCTGAGCGATTGGTTGTACAAACAAGCGAGACAAAAATAAGACTATCTGTCTGTCTGCCTAGTGCCAAAAGCGGTATAAAATTACACTCACTTGTTAACACTGTTTACCCAGGGACCTACCTAGTCATGTGACACTCAACGCCATCTTTCAAAATTGTTATTAACAGTCGGTGTCAGCATGGGAGCGGTTGGTCCATACAACACAATTACCTTTCGAACTCCTAACGCTCTTGTCATTCCTTGAAGCAAACTCTCAAGTGTAATGCTAACACATCTTGGCTTTTATTGCCACTGCCTTATCTCATTTGAAGACACTCTCGTTGGGTTATTTGCTGCATGGATAGCCGCTGAGATTAGCATCACGGACGAATGGCCCTTCTCTGACAGGAAGCGTTTCATCTGAGGAGCACTCCCCGACCTCCACAACAAAGATACTGGCTTAAGTTGTTTTTAATCGCATTTAATCTTTAATCGACTTTTGGAAAATACCGACAGTACCGTTAAATTAAAGCAAGTCACCGTGTATGTCATGGTAGGGCCTATTCGCTGATACGAGCCATAGACAGATCTGTTCAAAGTATTTCGGAAGGAGTCAAATACGTGTGTGTGCGTGTGTGTGTGCGCGCGCGTGTGCGCGTGTGCGTGTGTGTGTGTGTGTGCGCGCGCGCGTGCATGCGTATGTCTTCTACTAGACTGGATACAGTCCATAGACTGTCCAAAAATATGAAAGATAATTTTTACTTAACCTCGATGTTTCCAGAATAAATACATACCTCTGGAAACAGATCACTGTCATGTTATCGTTTTGTAACAATGTATCAACTTGTAGTGTTATAGGTTTGTTGATTTTGGTTTGTGGTCTTGTCGAAGGTTATTTGAGACATTATTTAAAAAACATTACAATAGAAAACAGTGAGTGTAAGTGAGTGAGTTGGGTTTAACGCCGTCTGGAACATTGTCAATATTCCAGCTACAGTACGGCGTGTCTGTTTGTCGTGGGAGGGAAACCCGAAGTGATACAGGTTATAGACCCAGTTGACCAGTGAAACCCAGGAACACGGGTATTGTGCTGGCAAATAGTGGGTTGAAGTGGGATTTGAACCCACAATCACAGGTTTCTTGCACTCCCATGATACGCGGCTCTGCACTGCGGATCGCGGTGACTTCGAGTGTCTGTATGTCCATATATATTCACTGTTGGTATTTCCAGGTATATTGACTGTTTGTATGTCCAGGTATATCCACTGTCTGTATGTCCAGGTATATTCACTGTCTGTATTTCCAGGTATATTCACTGTCTGTATGTCCAGGTATATTCACTGTCTGTATGTCCAGGTATATTCACTGTCTGTATTTCCAGGTATATTCACTGTCTCTATTTCCAGGTATATTCTCTGTCTGTATGTCCAGGTATATCCACTGTCTGTATTTCCAGGTATATTCACGGTCTCTATTTCCAGGTATATTCTCTGTCTGTATTTCCAGGTATATTCTCTGTCTGTATGTCCAGGTATATTCACTGTCTGTATGTCCAGGTATATGCCAAGACGGAAGCGAGGCAAGTCCTACGACTGCCGAAGATGCATTTCTCCCGGACACCCCTCCTCCCACCCCTGTTTACAAACAACGCCGGGACAACGCCCTCAGGTCTTCATATGACCACGTGGTACAGGAACCTCTCATGTAAGTGTACGATACAGTGAGTGAGTGAGTTCAGTTTTACGCCGCTTTTAGCAATATTCCGGCAATATCATGGCGGGGGACACCAGAAATGGGCTTTACGCATTGTACCCATGTGGGGAATCGAACCCGGGTCTTCGTCGTGACGAGCGAACGCTGTAACCATTAGGCTACCCCAACGCCTCTGTACGAGTCATAGTTGTATGATTAAACATCCTAGTCTTTAAAAATTCATTGCTTATATGGAGGGTTGCACGGCATCGGACAAATGTTTTTCTTTCTTCTGTAAAACCGTTCGTATGTACTTGTACCTCTTAACAATACAAACAATCAATATTGTTTGTGTATAAGTACAGTGGAACCCAAATGTCAAGGTTATTTACCATCTTGGATTGGAACAATCGGACTGTAATGATGTATATTAGTTTATCATTTTATATATAAAGAAGGGCATATTTGTTGTGTAATTTCTCTTAAACTCCTGTTTATATTTCATAAATTGATATCAAGTGTTTCTGACCCGTGTGTATGGGTCATCTTGAACGTTGTCTAATGAAATGTTTTGTTAAAGTCGGTCGATAGGATTTGCTTGAATGCAATAAAACGGTTTTTAAGTTCCTTTGAAAATATCGTCCAGCTCTCAGTAGAAGAGTTTCCTTATCGTCTGTGAGAATGTTTCTACTAACAGAAAATAGCGGACACAAACCTGGTATTCTTAATTTTTGAAAAAAATGTTCATATTTAAGACGAATTTTTCGAGGCATTATTTTACAAAAGGGAAATTTTATGGATGTCAACATCTGTAATTTGAGGAATATGACATTTCGGATTATATTCATTCTTCTTCATTCATCTGATAGAGGAATACGAATATAATCCAAAACATCGTTCTCATATCACAGAAACTGTCATCCATTGCCGATGACGGAGTAAGAGCATACTCCGAAAGATCGTGTTCCACAAACTACACACGTCGACATCCCTATACATTTCCCCTTCGTGTGTATCACTTTTAATGTCATTCAAAGAGTCATTATTAAGAATACACAATGATTGTGAAAGTGAACTACATCTTGTCTTGCAGTGACAGCTTGTTCGTCAACCTCAGCGCTCTGTACGCCATGTTTGTCATGGTGCTAGGTTTTGTCATTCCCATCTCGGAGACATTCACCACTGAGCCACGGGCCTATCTGTTCCAGGTAAAGTCATGGTCGTAACACACATACATCACAAGTGTCTGGATCCGGGTTAGAATTGATCTTCGGTAACCAATGCTTGTTGTAAGAGGCGACTAACGAGATCGTGGCTTGCTGACTGGGTTGACACACGTCATCGTATCCAATTTGCGTAGATCGATGTTCATGATGTTGATCACTGGGTTGTCTGGTCCAGACCTGATTATTTTCAGACCGCCGCCTTATAGCTTGAATGTTGCTGAATGCGGCATTAAACAACAACCAACCAACTTTTCGTGTCTCTGTTGGTGTTCCCTTAAGGTGACTTACAGGAAGACAACATCCAACTGTGAAATGGGATAGGTTGCACAAAATATCTTAGCATGAAAGAGGAACAATTCTCTATTACCCAATGTCTACTTTAACAACTTCAAATGTATTTACACACATCAACTAACCCTTGGTAATGATGATATGAAATCGGACTCCCTTACAAAGTGCGTGACCATCCTGTTCTCCTCCCCCAGGGATTCTACATCTACCTGTACGCCGTCAGCGTCCTCTTCCTCCTCTTCATGTACATCTTCGTCCTGAGAACCCACAGATGCAGCTGCAGGTGCCCTTGTAAGAAGAGGCGGCGTCGGGATCCCCTCATAGCGGCCCTGCAGGACAAAGACTTCAAGAACAGATTCACCTTCTCCGAGGCAGCACACTCTCACACAGGCAGCTTCTACCTTAGACTCGGTGCCGTCGGTGAGTGAGTGCATGAGTGAGTGAGTGAGCAAGTTATTCATCTAGGCACCAACCATTATATATTTCTCTGATAGGAAGAGCCAAACATTAGATTTCATCCACAATATATTTGTTTCAAGACATCCAGTATTCAGTTGGCACAAGTGGCACAGTCGGAAATCTAAGATGCCGCCAAGTTGTTCAGAGTTGCGTCCCCTGACATGCCAGAATCCTGTGATCATGGGTTTGAATCACTTATCACGTCGGGCTAATGCATTCATGGGACACTTAAGGCGAGACAGCTACAGGATAGATTAAGGGTGATATGCATGTTCCACTCAGTCTAATGATTCTATTGGTATCATCAGCCACAAGATGAAACATATTATACAATCATTTCCTTTAGGGTTCGGCATCGGCAGCATGATAAAAAGTGGCCTACAGTTCGGCGATTTCTTCGAGAGTGACGTCATGTCGAACTGTCGGGATATCATGCACGGTATCTGCCCCATCATCCATCTCGTCTTCACATTCTCACAGTTGTACTTCGTCTTCCTCAACTCAAAGGTAGGGCCAGACCTCCACGGTTTATTATGCATGCATGTACTGTGTATTATGCATGTATGTATTGTGTATTATGCGTGTCTGTATTGTGTATTTGGCATGTATTATGTCCAAGCGAGTTGGAGGCTTTGTGTGTTTGTTATTTAAAGTTACACTCAGCAATATTCCAGCTACATGGCGGCGGTCTTTAAATAATCGAGCCTGGACCAAACAATCCAGTGATCAACAGCATGAGCATTGGTCTGCGCAACTGGGATACAAGGCACGTGGCAGCCACCTCAGCGAGTCTGACCACCTGATCCCGTTAGTCGCCTCTTACGACAAACATGGGTTGCTCAAAACCAATTCTAACCCGGATCTTGACTTATGAGACTTAACAGCAAACCATGCAAATATTACTCTTAACTATAATTATCGTAACCAATACAGCAACTAGAGTGTAATGTATACGTATTTATTTGTCTGGTTCCCTGGGTAGACTGTGTTGACGCTATAGGAAGTAGCGCCAGCGCAGCGTACCCAGAGAACCAGGCTGGATATTTCGTCATTTATGTCCTACCTACCCTCTAAGTATTTCTAGCAGCCGCCTATATCAAGATACGTACGAACTATGTTTCAAAATATAACATTTAATGACTGTTTCAGATATGCATCCAACGTTTCAAGATTCTGTCGCGTTTTGGCGTGATGCATCTGGTTGCCACGAACATATGTGTGTGGCTGGAGAACATCGTGGAGGAGACGTTGGTGGAGCTGCAGCAGTACGTCAGTGAGATGAGGATGGGACAGGGGCCTCTCATCATCAGGAACATCTCTGTTAGGGTCCACTCGGCCAACAAGTCTAGCACTATAGCAACTCCTCAACCAGGTACGTAGTTCAGGACCGCCTCCGTGGTGTAGTGGTTAGAGCGTCCGCCCGGAGAGCGGAAGATCGCCGGTTCGATCCCCGACCGCGTCATACCAAAAGACGTTAAAATATGGTACTTGTTGGTCCCTGCCTGGCGCTCGGCATTAATGGGTACAACAAGGACTGGTCGGCTCGGAGTCAGTAGAATGTGTCTGAGTGGGGTATTCATGCTTCACTGCGACATGGTATCTCAGTGGGCTAGCACTATAAAACCAGCTTTAGTCTGGGCTAGTACAAGCAGCCACACATACCCATACACACGCATACACGTCGTCATATGAGCGAAATATTCTCAAGCACGACGTTAAACCCAATTTCACCTCACCTCACCACGTAGTTCAGGGACCCGTGAAGATCCAGATTAGAATTGGTCTTCAGCAACCAGTAACCCAGGTTCGAGAAATTAGCCATTCAGAACCCTCCAGCCTTTTCCTCCACTGCGGAGGAACTGTTAATTAGTTAAATGAATTGTGTTTGCCTCAGCATGGCGAGTGGTACGAGACATGTGGAACGTATCTACACTGATTACGAAACTAAAGCCAGTTCAAGATATGTAGATAATGATATATCATTACTTCCTCAATACAGTCCCATCTTTTGTTGCAGCGTTTACAACAACTACTACTCCGTCACCGGGGCGACACTGTCATCAGGAGAGCTTGATGAAGAATGTCGTGGAGAGGTCGGGGCCGTACCTTTACCCATGCAGTATTGAGTACAGCCTTATCTGCGCAGGTACGATCGATGTTGTTATTCGAGGATATATTTTGAAACTTCACGACTTTCGATCTGTATTTGTTTCTTTAACAAAATATTACAAGCCATCGTTTGCATTTTTAACACTAAAATAAAGTGAATTGTTTCAAGTTTATAATTCGTATTAGAAACGTGAATATTACGCAAAAACAATCACTTATATGGAACAAAAATAGACAATAAATACTGATTATGTTTGTCAGTGGTTTTAGAATTCATCGTGTGTAGAAAAAGAGCAAGATTGTTTAACACCGATTAAACAATAATACCGTACCTATTACGGCGTGTCCATAATGTGGGAGAAAACTGACCCAGACCTAAGATAATTTACCACAATATTAAAATCCAGTAGCATGGTGATGGACAACGGATCCTTGTGAACGTCGTATCTGGGATTCGACCACACGACTGGCGGATCCGACCATTGCTAATGACGTTCTAGTGTGTGAAAATATGCTTTGAATGTCTTTGTCCCTTGATCTCATCGTCAATCGACAAGGAATCAGATAAGAATGATTACGGTAATTTTGATTGTCGAGTGATAAGCTATATAGAGAATTCTGTGAATTTGATTTTGTATTTTTGTTTACAGGTATTCTGTTCGTCATGTGGCGAAACATCGGCAAACGGGGAATCAATCGCGAACAGGAAGAACAGAGGGAGGCTAAGGCGAAGGCTCAACGCCTCAGCCTCGACTGTACAGGCTCAAGTCGAGGCTTATTCCTCGGTATCCTCGTATTGGTAGCTGTCGTCATTTCCGTCATAACGTTCTTTGTTCTGATTGGCTCCCACGAGAGAAACGAAGCCGCTATCATGGTTGAGCATCTCTCAGAAATCGTCATCTACATATTGACCTCGTTGGCTGTAATATTAGCATTCTACAAGATGCAGGGTCTCCGATTCCGTCTTGAGAAAACGCTGGATTTAGAAGAATCTCTTATTCTCATATCTCTGCTTGGAATCTACACGTTTTCCCCTATTCAGCATAATCTCGGCCGCCTTCATTTCCGCGCAAGCGCAGAGCCTTCTTATCATTATATCCAGCGTTCTGCGCATGTTTCAAGCTACTGTACAAACTGTGTTTATTATGAACGCTCTGAGGAGGTATGCGTATGTCAAAGACCACGAGAGACGGAAACCAGGGAGAGAGTTTGTTACGTTTTTGCTGGTCTCAAATATTGCCTTGTGGGGAATAAACACATTTGAGGTCCAGCAATCAGAAGCTAACCCTATTCAAATTGACTTTTTTGGAGTGTTGCCCTGGAATATTTTCACTCACATATCCAGCCCTCTAGCTATCTTTTATCGTTTTCATTCGACGGTGTGTCTATCAAATATATGGAAGCATGCTTGGAAACGGAAGCGTGCTTGAACAAAGGGAGATCAATCTCATGGTCATCACGCGTGCGCTCACTTGGGTTATTTATTAAACTGGATCATATGGCAAGCTTGTTACAGTATTACCTCATGAAAAAAACATACCTCAATCACATCGACTTCTGCTGTCAGTGAAATGGTCATTATCAAATAGTCGCTGTTTCGACCTGTGGTAATGTGTGACCAATCGGATACAAGTATTTGTCATGCCCTGTTACAGAAAACGTGTTCAGCCAATCAAATGCCCTGTTTCGTTTGTCTGAAACCCCGTTCATCCAGACAAAAGAGAACCAATCAGATTAGTGAGAACAGAGTTACAACTTGCCGCAATCGTGGTGAAAAGACATGAACAGTGCTGATGTCTTGTGGGTCATGGTTAAGAGCTAAGCGTCCATATCTTTTTCGTCGTTCTTGGATACGTCGGGCGATGAGTAAGCTAGTGGTTACAGCGTTCGCTCATCACGCCGAAAACCCGGGTTCGATCCCCAAATGGGTACAATGTATGAAACCCATTTCTGGTGTCCACTGCCGTGATATTGCTGAAATATTGCTAAAATCAGAGTAATGACAATATACGTGTTATGACAATATACCACAGGCCTGCTACAAGTGCAAGATGAATCATGCAGTTTCTTGCTGGTGACTTATCATAATATATTTACAACGTAAATGAAAACCTCACACAAGTTCTTACCATAAAAGGCAGATTCTATGAAGAAAGTTGTTTGAGATTCCAGATGGAGACGCAGCGGAAATTAGGAAACGGCCTAAGGGAAGCAACTCGTTCTGACATGTACGATTCCAGGAGAACGTTGCGTTCCATGGATTCACTCTGACCCAGTTCGTACAAATGATCTACCGACATTCTGCAACTTCGCTGATAATTCACGGATAGCTTAGGACTAAAAACTCACGAAAGTTTCCATACTCGTTAATCGAGTGTAAAAATGCGGAATGAAACATATACATTGTACAAGCGAGGACGCCGAGGCTGGCTTTCCAACTACGGAACCGTCGGCGAAACAATTGACGATGCCAATACTTTTTAAACGATTGTTTAACTAAACGATTTTCTAAAACTTTTAAGATGTGTCAATGAAAGAAAATAAACCTTTTACTTGACTCTAAAACAAATATTATTTCACCAACTCACAATACTTACACAGGATAACATGTGTTTTTATTTCATTTTTAAATTTCGAAATCCTATCATGAGGTTTTGGAAAATCCGTGAACTAGTTCATACGAAATGGAAAGTTTTCAGGTCCTGGTTTGCACTTGACAATGGACACCTAAAAAAACATGACAGTGAAAACCACAAATGTGTAGGCTTATGACTGGCAATAAACGAAGGAGTTCTATAGCCTCCTGAAATGCAACCATCATGGGATTTTGCAGGGATCCATTGAACCTCGTGACTGAAAACATGGAAGGCTCATAAACTAGTTTAATCATATCTCAACTCAATGGTAACCATGGATGAAGTCTTGTCAGTATTATTTGGGTGAGTGAGTGAGTTGGGTTTTACGGCGCTTGTAGCAATATTCCAGCAATATCACCACGGGGGACGCCGGAAATGGGCTTTTACACCCACGCCCCTTCACACCCTTGTACCCATGCTAAAGGCGGCGTAAAAGTAAACTCACTCACTCGTAGTTCGCACGATGAACTTGTATTGCCCAGAAAGCGTGCCTCCTAGAAACTGCCACAACCCCGACCCCTTTGCCGTTACATGAGTATCTGAGTAAACTAAACTGAAATACTCTCCTGGTGTCTTGGGATTAATTTTCGGAAACCACCGTAAATATTTTGAAAAAAATGTTTTATTGTGACTTACAAGTCACAAAGATTGTGTGCGTGTTGCCGGTTTATCTAATTCAAAAGTACATAGAAATACGGCTTAACATTTGAAAGTTATGTTGGTTCCGGGGTCACGCTTACTGTTACTGTATCTGAAAGTATACTGACAAAGAGGGATCAAACCTCCAAAACACAAAGGCGATAATGACCTCAGTAATTCAAGTCCATGCTCTGTATCGTTATTACGATACATGTCCACTAGTCTCTAAATTTAATTTTTTTAAGTTTCTTGTGTGAGGCACGTCTCCAGGGGCCCTGTTTCTCTATCCGACATGTCCACTTTGTATCATAATATGAAATAATCATTAAAATTATGTTCGATATTTTAGTATTAGTTGTCATCTTTATTGTTTTTCAGGACACTGATGTCTTGTTACACTGAGATGTTACCCTAACGTTGCGTTTGTTTGTTGTTTTACGCCGCACTCAGCACTATCCCAGCTATATGACGGCGTCTGTAAATAATCGAGTCTGGACCAGACAATCCAGTGATCAGCATCATGAGAATCAATCTACGCGGTTGGCATTCAATGACATGTGTCAATCAAGTCAGCGAGCCTGACTACCCGTTGCTGAAGACCAATTCTAACCCGGATCTTCACGAGTAGTTAGCCTTACCACACGGAGACAACTGAAAGACTGTATATCACTCGAACTGTGTTAGGTGCTGACTAGACAGCAGAAGAGTCACGGAGTTTGATCCTTTGTATCGACTCGTGAAGGACGTGGCAGAACCTGTTTTAGCTTCTAGAAAACGTAAGTCCACAATATGGCGGTTGGATTGAAGGAGAATACGAGTGAATTGCAATAATTTGCTAGGTGAAAGATAAAGTCATCAGAAACATTTTCCCAAATTTTCAATTACAAATTATGTATAAATATGTTTTAATCGCAAAAACAACTTCTGTAAATCTCAGCTTCGGCCATTATGCATATTTCGCTGTAACCCACGTGACCTTTCCGCTCGTGACGTCAAATGTGCCCAGAGTCTGCCATATTGCCAAAGACCAAGCGCTACAGTAGTACAAATCGTGTTGTTCTGTCGTTTTGTAAATGGTACGATGGTGTATTCTGTTGCCTGGGGATGCACGGAATCTTCGAACAATGGAAAGCCACCATTTCTTCCGTTTTCCAAGTAAAGAGACAGACTTAGGCAGGAAAAATGCTCCGATCATTCCGAGTCGGACGCATATGAAAGAGACAAGCACACATGAGGCATACAAATCCCAAAGCTTGACTGAAGAAGGAAGAATTACCCACGAGATTCATTTATACTCCATCATTCCCTGTTACAGCTTACTGTCAGTGGTATTTTTAACATAAATTAAATCAAGTACGATTGCCAGTCGAATTGCCCCAGCAAATTTGGTCAAATTGCACCGGAGTTTTGGTCAAATTGCCCCATGGGGAGTAGTCAAAATGCCCCAATTTATTTAAAATGATTAAATATAGGCCATAAATGCATAGTTTTGTCAAGTTTGATATTATGTTCTTCATATAAAAGTATATACATAGTTAAGCGTTTACTGATGGAACATTTATCAGAAATATTACTTCTTAATAACTTTTATTTGAAGAACATAATATCAAAGTTGACAAAAAACTATGCATTTGCGGCATATATTTAATCATTTTAAATAAATTTGAACAAAATAGAATGAAAGACCAAATTTGCTGGGGCATTTTGTAGCTGCGGCAGTTCCACTTGTACCTATGAGATATATATTATCAAAATCAGTAAGAGATTTCACATGAGCTTGAAAATGTTTCTCTATGACGTTCTTTTCGGTTTGGAGCCCAAAATGCTGCAGACTACCCGAAACATTGCTGAATACAACGGCAAATTTTGAAGTACTTGTTGCTTTCATTGTTTTCCATTTTGTCCAATTACGCACGTCGGCATCAGACTCGCTATTTGTCAGTAGTGTGTGCCGTGAAAGTTGTTCTGTGTTCACATTGGCTGACAAGATGCCATTCTAAGGCTATGGCCGAGTACCATATCTATTTCCATAAACAAACACTGGGGAAACATACATTGTCCTGACAAGTATTTTATAATTCCCCAGTTTTCGGGGAATAACTTACCTGCGTCGCGAATATTATCTCTGCTCGACCAGGCATGGAGTTTGTGTGGAGACTTGCTACGTTATTAATGAGAACTAGGATCCTAATTTTTTTTCAACAAAATAACTCCAGTGTAATTTTTGTAGCAGATAATTTCTATTTTCCCCCGTCTGAAGCATAATTATTGTGTTTTTAAATCCCAGACACCCTACAGTCACCCATTTGACACAAACGGAACTGCAATCACATTGCAAAAAATATAATTCTTAGGAACTGGTCATATACTTATAGGGGTGGGTTTGCTGGTTGGAACTGTATCACATTTTGCTGTCAAATAGTATTCTTGTTAAATTATATGGTATGTTCTTAAATTTATTTTTTAACTCAAGCGGTGCCTCCGTTTCGCTTGATTCTTCTTCTTCACTGAAAGATTGTCTTGCAAGATGTAAAATCGGATCGTATTGATACGGTCTAACATCCATTTCAGAAATGACATCAGGAACACCTTTTACTGCTTCAGGATCCATGGACACTGTTAAGTTGTGAGGTATAATCAGAGGCAGCCATCAGCAACAGGCACATATGACGTCATGTCACGTGATACCCCCTCTGCTCATTAACTGTCGGGTGTTTCCGTAAAGGGCGGAAATACGAGTACTTTTATTGTGTTTTTATTGCTATTTTAACAAACTGTTTGTTCAATTTAAATCACGGAAGGTGACTTTTAGAATATCCTTTACAATATATCAAATGTTTTGTTTTCGTTCGGATTCTCCTTTAATGCAGTAAGGTGGGGTTAAACGGTTTGTGTGCATATGTGCGTGTGCGTGTGCGTGCGTCAATGTTATGCTGCACCAGCTCTTTCAAGGCGACTTCCTCTCTTGTCACCAATGAGATCCGATTTAGAATTGGTCTTCAGCAACCAATAATTGTCGTAAGAGGCGAGTAACAGTATCGGGTGATCAGGGTTTCTGACTTGGTTCACACATGTCATCGTATCTCAACTAGCTATAGTTCAATCATATTTACAGACTGGATTATTGCTGAATGCATCGGACATATTGTCCATTACACCATCACACTATCGGCCAGAGACATTGTCCGGCCGATGGTGTGATGGTGTAATGGACAATGTGTCCGGCCGATGGTGTGATGGTGTAATGGACAATGTGTCCGGCCGATGGTGTGATGGTGTAATGGACAATGTGTCCGGCCGATGGTGTGATGGTGTAATGGACAATGTGTCCGGCCGATGGTGTGATGGTGTAATGGACAATGTGTCCGGCCGATGGTGTGATGGTGTGATGGTGTAATGGACAATGCGTTGAGGCTCAAAGCTATAAACGGTGTGACATGAACACACGCCAGTGTGTCAGTCGACTAATTCAGTATTTGCATTGGTTGGAAAAGCAAAACGAACTGGCAAAGAACGATTTGACTCAAAGTATTTACACTAAACTACTATATTTGTAGACATACGTATCTATGAATGTAGTGCCAAACGGTTCTCGGTGAATCCAATGTCAACTGAAATAGCCCAGAAACCAACAATCTCTGATCTAGTTCCTTCGCGGACTATTTGTACAAGAATGTAGCATATTCTTGGTGTCTTGCAATCGATCAAGGCTCTGATACATTGGAAGTCCAGAAAGTTTGATTCAAGCTGTTTTATTTTCTTCCTTAAACTACTGATTGTATATTAATTCAATGGTGACAAATAACACATATATCTTGACACTTACGGTGTCAACAGGTGAGGGGTACTTGGTTTTAACGTTCAAGATTATTGAAGTTGTTTCCAAGTGTGTGTGTGTGTGTGTGTGTGTGTGTGTGTGTGTGTGTGTGTGTGTGTGTGTGTGTGTGTGTGTGTGCTTGTAGTAATCAAGATTAATTATAGTTTTAAAGTGCTTCCCAACAGTTCCCATGTCACACTTGAGCACGGATATCCCACTCAGACACATTACACTGACTTCAAACTGACCAGTCCATGTTTTGACCCTTGGTCACAAACGTCAGGCACGGAAGGAACACGTCCAGGAATTAAACGTCCAGGAATCGAACCTCAGGAATCACAACAATACACCATCGGGCATTGAGTCTTCCTTGAAGCTACCTTGTGGGCGAATTTTCATGCTTGCCTGTATGGAGACCTTGGAACCCCATTTCATTCCTCTATATGTGGTGTCGTTGTAAAGACCATTAAGGTTGGAGTGGTGACAGTCATTGTACCACCAAGCTCCGTGATACATCACAGCACAGTTGTCGGTCTCGTTCAGGTCGAAGTCCAGGTTATTAGCAGTGAAGCGCCTGAAATTTTGATACTCCATAGAGTCTCCTGAAAAAAGAATACGTTTCTTATTAGATTATCATAGAAATTACATGCGAAAAAACAATTACTTTAATTGTGATTATCAAACATGTTTTTTTCTGATGAGCCGGACAGAAACATAGACTAAACATGTTTAAAATATATTTAATTGTTAGTCCTCTGCTATACTTGCGTACACCATGGTTCAAAACAATAAAATATTAACGTACATCCATATTTTACAATCTTATGCTGATGAAGCCAAATATGTAGGCCAGTTTCAATACGTTCCCTTATTAAAAGTCCTGCAATACATAGTTTACCTTCTAACAATGTAGGTGGACTAAATACAGAATAAAACGTTTTAAAGTTTTGTCTTTTTCATATCAACTTAATTCATTGAAAGTGAGATATGCCTTTAAACATCATAGAAGCTGAATAGCGGCGTCCATAGAATATAAACGTCAAATATTCTAAATACAAACGAAAGCAATCAGGCAAATACTATTGGCAACATTTACCTGAATTGCCCGTGAACCCACTGACATCAAGAGTGTAGAAGGTCGACATGTTGCCTAGTCGGAAGTTGTTGTAGTGGGCAAACCCAGTCTCCCCGTCTGTAAACGTGAGGTCCACTCGTAGTTCGTACGTTGTCTGTTTGGTGAGACGGTGTATCCTCTCGTTACCTGAAATGGGATAAAGGTACTAAAAATTCGAGAAAGAGTAAGGTAAAAAAAAATTCATTAACGTGCGACAGTTCATTCTTCTCGTTACCTGAAACGAAATATAATACTTTTTCGAGTACACGAAAAAGCAATCAATTCAGTAAATTTATGCACATAGGATAATACATATGGACATGTTGTTAAATGATATTTCCATCTGTTAAAATATACTAGCCACAACAAGAATATTCTATTTTTTTTCTAAAAAATCCTCGTCCATGACGTTGAAGAAACGGGATGGCCACTTTTACGAGATTCTAATCTCTGTATCTCATACGTGTCAACTTGCCTTGAACAAGAACTAAAGGGGTTGTCCGATTCCACTCCAAATCATCTCTTTAAAGTCTAAGTGGGGCAGTGGGGTAGCCCAGCGGTTAAAGCGTTGGCTCGTCACGCCGAAGACCCGGGTTCGATTCCCCACAATATGTGAAGCCCATTTCTAGTGACCCAAGCCGTGATGTTGCTGGAATATTGCTAAAAGCGGCGTAAAACCAAACTGTCAGTAAGTCAGCCAGTCAAAGTCTAAATTAAAATCCATTGAATATTAATTTAACTAATGTCCAAAGATTTCGATCACACTGTAAAGAAAATGGACTGGTTGTTAAGCTCATCGTGTGAAATGTTTCCTAAAATATACGTTGGTGATATTCCACAATTGTGGGACAAAATGTATGAGTAATTTGTATTTTCATATCTTCTTTCAGCTGTTTGTATTTCTGAACCAAATCCATAAAATCTGAAATTGTACTTGTGGTGGATTTGATTGTGTTTCAGGAGAAAAATGTAAAGCAAAACATCTCTTAAACTTGTGTCTTTGTATACATCCTTACCCAACCAGAATTCCCCGGTGAGGTTGCCAAAGCCGTCCATGTACTCAAACCACGTCCTGTAGAAATCCACCAGGCCATCCACTCTCCGTTGTATCACCTTCAACATAACATGTTCTAATTTCAGAATTCGTCACCAAATGGAGTTTAGAATCAAGCATTTTCTCGACGATCAGGTAGACCATGATCATGTCTTGTTTCTCTTGGTAAATACAATGTACATTCCCACTCACTGCCCCAAATATATTTTTGTCTGGGGATTAGGAAGATTGAGCATTGAAGCTCGGATGATTGCTTTAAGTCAGTGCTTTCTTTCGAATTCCCCCAAATGTATGTTTTTCCTGGGTATATGAGTATTGGTTTATATTGCCTGCAAAAATACCCTCTTTGGAACCACCCGATATAGCATATATACTTACCAGCCAGCCGCCTCCATGTTGGGTCATGTCACAGTACGCTTTGAAGGAACCTTGTTCGTCTGAGGGCAGTATCCTATACACGCCATCTCCAGCATTAGGATACTCCTTCAAAATACTTGCACAATCTGAAAAGAAATGTTTGTATTCATTATATGAAAGTTAAACCTTGTGATGCGAGGCAATTCCGATGCTTTCACATATGAACTTATGTAGACCCAGGTATTCAATGGTCACACATGGACGTTAAATCTACATCCCGTTGGGATTCAGCCTCCGGACCCAATCTGTGTAGTGCAAATGTGTGTTGAATGCATGTGTGAGTGAGGGAATGTTTACAAAGCAGTAGCTGAAGATGAGTACTGAGGATAATAAAAATGTTGCACTGGCTGACATTGTAACCCCTTTTCTCCCGCACTTTAGATAGGAATGTCACGCGTTCGGCCTTTGGCTTAGAATATCACTTATACATAGCAACAAGCAGATAGTTGACCTACATGTAGCCGAGTAGATTTCTATGTGAAACGATTGCATTTGTCTCATTTTCCTTTGTTTTGTAAGGCCGATAACATGACAAGGGATTCATGTAGAACGTGGTAGTTATACCAACATGTGGCAGTTGTACCCCAGACGTGACACTGGAGATCCGATGGTGCTCATGGCAAATTACATTGACACAAGGTTATATTACAGAGTAATATTCCAGCAGCTGTAGATAAACCATAGTCTGTCTCACAGTCCCTGAACCACATTATTTCCCAAATGCCTAGCCCTCCCTGCAATGCTAAAGCCATAAATGACGCAAGTCTAGATTTCCTCAACTCACTGGGGCTCCATTTCAATTTAAACTATCAACTATGAAAATTATATACATTCAGGGATTAAGCGTCAGTCTAGATACACCGTATACTAGGCGTAATCAATAAAGGTTCAAATAATATATAGCACATGTAAAGAAAAGTTTCTCAGAAATAATAGAACTAAGAGTGCCATCATAATGTTTAATGTGTTGACAAACGTGACACATCGTGACATACAGACAAAAACTTCAAGCATCACCAGCAAAAATCAGTTGTATAGACCAACCCCCTAACATGAAAATGACAAACAATGAAGCACTCGGTCATTCAATATCTTGTGCACCCTCCTCGCGCGTCCAAAACACAGGTGCATCTTTTTCTCATGCTCCTTATCAAGTTCATAAAGAAAGCTTGCTGAATCACATTCCATTCCTCTACTAGAACTCTGCGAAGTCCTGGGAGATCCACTGGTGCTGGGTAACGTGTGTACACACGTCGACCGAGTTCATTCCAGGCCAGCTCAATTGGGGTCTGGCGAGCATGCTGGCCACTCCACCCGCTCTAAGACGCCTAGCGTTGTCGTCTTGCAGTAAAGAGGGTCGAGCATAAAAGCCATGCACAGCTCGCAGGAATGGTACCACTATAGGAACCAGAATCTCGTCCCGATAACGCTGTCCGGTCGACCACGTGCAATGGAGTACGTCCAGTAGGAGTTATCCCTGCCCAAACCATGACCGCCCCCCCGCCCCCTTGTCAAATCGGTTATGCGTGGCCACAGTTGCATCTCCACTGCGATGATAAATCCTCTGCCGACCATTATGGAAGGACAAATTGAATCTGCTTTCATCTGTGAAGAGCACACGAGACGATTGACGTTGATTCCAGCGGGCATGATGTCTACTCCATCTCAAACGCGCCTGCCTGTGACGTGGTGTTAGTAGTGGACGAACTGCAGGTCGCCTACAGAGGAGTCCGGCTGCCCTTAACGTCGACGAACGGTGCTCCTGGATATCCTTACATTGTTAACCTTGACGTGTTCTGTCTGAAGATCTGCTGCGCTAAGAAATTTGTTACGTAACGCAGTGTTAATCATGTGCCCATCATCTCGGAGTGTTGTGACTCTTGGGACACCCCTTTCGGCGTGCATATTCCACGGACCCATTGCCTTGAAATCTCTTCCGCAGTCTACCAATAGCACTCACATTAAAGTGGACAGCAACCTGTCCAGATTCCGAAAGGCCTATAGTCTGACCCCTTTCAGAACGTGTCACAAAAACGTCCCAAATTTTAAGCTGCAATTTCAAACAGGTACAACAGTGAACTGCATTAAGGCATGTGTATTGTCCTCCACTTTCTCTGGATAGAGCGACTTGCACGTGCAAATCATTGACAGTAAGTGGCAGGTGGATTTCCATACTGACAATTTGAATAAAATATGTGTCATTTGTAACAGAATGTATTGGACGTTAACGAACGTAATAATGACATTTCAACGGCCTGATATGTGTTTCCATACTGTTAAGAAAGTTTGTAAAACATTCAGTTGTATATAATTTCAAACAAAAACGAAGAGTTTACAACTTTTAAGAAATAGTGTTAACACTACCTAGACCATTCATTAATGACACGGAGTATATAAATGCATGGCTTAGGGAAGGTTTCAACACAGTGAAAATAGACAATGATTTTGATGAGGAGCGAACGAGTGTGGTTTTACGATGCTTTTGGAAACAGTCAATCAATGCCATGTGAAGAGACATGAACAATGGGCACGAATAAGGAATGTTTTAACCAGTAAACTAAGCCCCAGACGTTTTAAGTATTTGAAGAAGATCTTAGGTGAGCTTCAATAGTGAAATAGGGTTTAAATCTGCCAGGCAGGCTAAGAACACGTACGATAATTTAGTATGATGCTGCCATGGAGATCAAATCAGGGGGCTTTGAGCTCTCCGTACAGACACTCTCCATTAGACCATCAATAAGGCCACATTCTGAAAAGGGTAAGGCCATATTCTGAAAAGGGTACGATCCGTGAAGGTCCGGGTTAGAATATTGGCCTTCAGTAACCCATGGTTGTCGAAAGAGGCGACTAACGGGTGGTCAGTCGCGCTGCCTTGGTTGACACATGTCATCGGTTCCCAGTTGCGCAGACCGATGCTGTTGACTACTGGATTGTCTGGTCCAGACTCGATTATTTACAGACCGCCGCCATATAACTGTTATATTGCTGAGTGCGGCGTAAACCTAAACTCACTCACTCTGATAAGGGCACGACTCAATGGAACACTCACCGGTGTAGTTATCGGATTCGTCTTCACAGACATCGTCGCTCGATGCCAGATACGTATCCATGGTAGTCTGGAATTCCTTGTACTCTTCTATCAGTTGACAATATTTTACAATATTGGCATTGGTTGAAAAACCAAACAAGAGGTGGGAAACAACGAGTATCCAAATCATATTTTATGGCCTCAGTCAACAGACGTACTTCAAATGTGAATAGCGTGTTGCTACATTAAACTTTTATATCTGCGGATATACGTGGCTGCGAATTTTATGATGTGATACTAATTGGCTTCTCGGTGATTTTCCGTCACCACTTGTGCCACTTCTAAAATAATATCATGATGAAAATGGTTCCGCTTCATAAATGAGGGTTCCCTGCACTTATGGTACTTAATTTGTGTAAGGAGATTTTTAACGATAGCGGTGTTTTCCTGAAGTAACATGCTACTTCCTGCTCTTGTTTACATTAAACGATATGTCCTAATTTACATTTCCTCAACCGAACAACACCAGTGTGTTTGTTCATGTGTCAGGCCTGTAATTAACTTTCTCTGTTTATCAGCTTGCGTGAATGTGATTACGACGGCGATGCTTGAGCGCATTTGATATTTCCATGCATGAATGTGATTATGCTAAGGCGCTTTTTATATCCCAATTCTTTTCAGAGCCTCACAAATGATATAGAATGTATTTCTGTGAATGTTCAATGTCTGTATACAATTTTGGGGGGCTTTGCAGTAAATCCAATGTGAAAATGTCAAGCCTTTTTAAAAGATGAGAGTGAATGTATTTTATGTGACGTGGAATGATTACATGTTACGTTAGAGTTTATGCTGGGTTACAGATTATGTGCATAGTCGTATGTAATGTTACCTGTCAATAAAAGAGGCAAAGATCATGTCTTTGATAACAAGAAATCTCTACTAAAAGGGCAAATGGTTCCGATATATCGCAACTAAATACTGATGATACCCGATGTTTGAGTGAGTGAGTGAGTGAGTATGGTTTAACGCCGCTTTTAGCAATATTCCAGCAATATGACGGCGGGGGACACCAGCAACTCACACATTGTACCCATGTGGGGAATCGAACCCGGGCCTTCGGCGTGACGAGCCAACGCTTTAACCACTATGCTACCCCGCCAACCCACCAGATGTTTGAACAGTGATGATACCCATCACATACATGAAAAGGTAAGTAAATTATTAATCTGAATAAGGGACCACAAGTCAACTTAAGGAATTGCATTTGACCTACATGTTCTCACTGATGCGACCAATGTTCTCCACATGTCTTCCATAAACCTATTTGAAGCTTTGGTTAGATCTTGATTGTTGTAACTCTCGGAAAATAACTTTGGGACCAGAGTGGAATTGCGATCTTTGTAGTCCTGGTACATTATGCTCGATTGTAGAAGGCAAAAGCTGCAGGCGGTGGTCTAGCTTAGTGAATAACGCGTTGGCTCGTCACGCCGAAGACCCAGGTACCATAACTCCTCATCGGTACAATGTGTGAAGCCCATTCCTGGTGTCTCCCGTTGTGATATTAATGGAATGTCGCTAAACTTAACTCACTCACAAACTGTGGCTGCTGGAATGTTGTTGGACATGACGGGAAAGTTGACTCTGGAAAGTTGAAGTCACCCTTCTGCCTTTTAAAGTGTTTTGGTCACTTTGAAGGTTGCTTGTATCGACATATGAAATAAATGAGAGGGTTTAACTGATTTCTTTTGTGTATAGTTCAGATTGGTAAATTAAATCAATAGAAGTGTCTTTGCTATTCCACCATTATGGAACAAACCCAGACCGTCCTATACAATAATTCTATGAAGCTAACCTTCTGGACCTAATTTCATGCAATATAAAACATATATCTGTATATGAAACAAATGAGAAGGTTCAACTGGGTTCTCTTGTGTATAGTTCAGATTGGTAAATTAAATTAGTAGAACTGCCTTTGCTATTCCACCGTTATGGTACGAACCTAAACCAGTCATATACAATAATCCTATGAAGTTAACCTTCTGGGCCTAATTTCATGCA